TTGTTGTTGTTGTTGTTGTTGTTGTTGTTGTTGTTGTTGTTGTTGTTGTTGTTTGCGTTTCGGTTCACTTTTAAATTGATGGAGTTCTTTTGGGTTTCTGCCTCAATCTATACAAAGATCTCTTGGGATTTTTTTGTTTGCTTGTTTGGGTATTAATTTAGGATTGTGTATTGGCTTCTCCTGGTTCCGTCAGCTGATGCCTTCTCATTAGTGTAAAATGTGCAGGTTTAATCGTTAGCGTAGGGAATGTGTACAAACCATTATTAATGTTTACTGATGCGTGCTCAACCAATTTGTATATTTGTTTAGGGATGCGAAGCAAAACGTTACATGGGGATTGGTTGGAGAGAAATAGATTTATCAAGAGTGAAGGCTAGTGATGGGGTACACGAAGATAGGCGCCAAAACCTAATGCACTTTTTATTGAATGGCGTCACTGACTGATATGGGGACACAAGGACAGACACAGTCAAAAACATGAGGCTGTTGTTACTGAATATCTTTATTGAGGAGAAGTTCTTGGCGGGTGGTTGGTGGGTGCTCTGATCGGTTTGCCGCTTCTTTTCTATCAAACACGCATCGTCTTATCTCTGCTCATTTTATGCAGTTGCGAGCGTCGAAAAATTCTCCCTAAAACATGACATGATGATAGATTTGTTGCAGTAAAACCTGTTGGCACTTACATGACCAAAATTGAGTCGATAGTGCCGTGAAACACCTGCTCAATCAATCAATCAATTAGCTCCTTTTATTTCGTGTTTGTTACTCTCTTGTAACACCTCTGATCATATCATCGGCGCTAATGTGACCTAACTGTGTGGCAAGTGCCGTTAAACTCTTATTTAAACAAGGAGATGAACTTTTAGGCTGAACGCACTGGAGCTGCTAGTTGTCAATTTGGCCACCGCCAAAGGTTTTCTCTTCCTCCCAGGAATATCCACCTAAGGGTGTAGTGATTTCGAGGACGAGGGAGGGGTGGGGAATTGAGGAGCGAGTATTTCACCGTAGGGCTCAATCTTTGCAGCAAAAATAACAATGATAACAATAACAACAACAACAACAACAACAACAACAACAACAAACACAACAACAACAATAGAAACAACAACGACAACGACAACAACAGCAAAAACAATTGTTTTCTCGCCCAAATGAAAACAATGAAATAGATAAGCACCGCGCGCACAGGCAACTCGGGTTTTCATTGTTTACATTTGGACGAGGAAACTGTTGCCCAACTAAAGTTGCCCTGTGCACGCCTAGCCTTAGTTTTTCGTTGTCTTGCTTCGTGCCTCGGTGTTGGTGGTTGTCATAAATACATAAAACGACGCTACCTAATAGAATAGTTTCTGGTACAGCTGCCTTTGACTCTAAAAAACAGATGAAAAACAAAATCAAATGAGCAATGACGATGATTATTACTATTATTATTCCATGTTACTGAAGAAGCCCTCAGGGCGAAACGTTGACCTTTTTCAGTGTTATCAATTTTAAAGTCTAGTCCCCACCAAATGTTTTGCCTTTTTATGTCTTCGAGGTTTCAACAGTAATAATGATGATGATGATGATGGTGATGGTGATGGTGATGATGATGATGACGATGATGATGATGATGATGATGATGATGATGATGATGACGACGACGATGACGACGACAATGACGACGACGATGATGATGATGATGATGATGATGATGATGATGATGATGATGATGATGATGATTGCGGTGATGATGCATAGTACTGAATTTGATAGAATACTTCATTCCTTGATATTTCCTCAGGTGTTTACATTCTAGATGACTGCTCTTCTGAGTCCATGGCATTGGCAAGGTCTCTACAGTTTATGCCCGCGGCTTCTGGCGCTCTGGGTGATGCTATGTTGAAACACTACAGTTCACCTCAACAAACTGCACAAACGTCGGACGCCAAGATAGAAAAACCTACTGCGACGCGTCATCAAGCAGTCCACATGGAATCAAAGTCTAGTGATTCTCGTGTGAAGGAAGGCGTTGACGAAGAAGGTTTACTTAATCTGAAGCGGTCACGAACTCGTCGTTCTATATTTCTTTCTGAGAAAAGAAAAGGAAAAGTGGGTAAAGAGTTTGTAGAAAGTTTGAAAACTTTTCAAGGTAAAGTGCGTCTTAGGCATAGGAGAGTAGTCGAGAAAATGAGTAAGAAAAACAACAATGTTGACAGGATTTACGCATTGAAAAGTATGCCACAGAATAAACGACAAGCAGAACACAAAGAAGGTTTGGTAGATGACAAGAATTCAAGCCACGACTTTGCAGATCCGAATATTGCACAAGCCGAAGGAAAATCGGAAAAATCTCCGAAGTACGTCCTCAAAAATGTAACTGATGTGTGCGCCCAGCGTGCATTTGACGCTAAGAAAGATAAAGGGCGACGTAGACTACGCCGGAAAGAAAGACTGCCTCCTTTCTATGAGGTAGTTGGTGTGGTTGGCGCCTACACCAGTTCTCTGAGCATCGTGGTGGCGGATGTGATGACGCTGTTTGGCTTGCCACAGATCAGCCACGCCTCCACAGTGGACACCCTTAGTGACAAAAGCAAGTTCCCGTATTTTTTCAGAACTCTTCCACCAGATAGGTAAGAAAGCTTGTTTTGTGCTTTAGAACAGTGTTGTGTTTAGGTAGGAAAAAGCAAATTTCAGTCCTCCTTTCGGACCTCCCTTGACTTCACGCGCACATCCGGGGTTTTCGCGAAAGATACTTTTAATTTATTGCAAGATAGAATGAGCGGTTAAAGTTTATTTTTACGGAAATACCTCAACCAGAGATCATCTTCTGTGTGCAACGGCGAGGTAGCATTTCCTGATGCTGTACAGTAGGTCCATTTAATGATACCATCCCCCCCCCCCAAAAAAAAAATATCCCAAAAATTAGTAATAATCAAACAAAGTATCGAAAACGCAACCAGAGACAATAACCAAACGCATTTCGTGAAGTATTTCTCTATAACATATATAAAATTAAAATTAAATGCATGTACATCTATAGCCACTTGATAAAGGACTTGCTGTAGGGAGCAGAAGAAAATGCATGATGTACCACTCCGCACTGTGAGAAATCCACTAATCTTAATTCGCTCAAACTCCTTCTCTCTCAGTTGACAGCCCAGAAACACGTTAAAATATGAATCTGATTGTAATTTTCAAAACAAATATATACCACAAAGTTTGGAAAGGACGCTTTTAGGGTCAATTAAAGAGTCCGACGGAAAGGAATTATTTGCACTTAAAACATAAATTAAGGTTTTGCAACTGTGTATTTTTCGGTACGCCTATGTGTGAAAACGAAAACGAAATTGCCTTCTCAGTGCAACGTGCTTTACATCCTTATGATAGACAATGTGACATTTTAAAAGGCCTAAATACTGGATACAAATATTTATACAACTTTGAGAATAATTGAAACTAGATCTGATGATAGTCCATATCAATATATAAAAAGTAGGGTGAAAGAGAGATATGAAATGGAAACCGCTATGCAATTGGATGGGAATGAGGGCGCTATTCAAGAAAATGCGCAGCGGATGCCCTAGGTCCAAAGGAACAAAGGGAATCGTTTGAGGTCGTTATCCAGGATCTGAAATGGTGTCCTTCTTACGTAATTACCAATCACTGAAAGTGAGTATGATCTATCTATCTATCTATCTATCTATCTATCTATCTATCTATCTATCTATCTATCTATCTATCTATCTATCTATCTGCCTGTCTGTCTGTCT